TGCCTGGCAAGTGCAGAGTCGTGAGTTCATTTCCCAGTACCACAAAGAGAAAGAGAGAGAGAGAGAGAGAGAAGGAGAGAGAGAGAGAATTCAAGGCCAGCCAGGGCTGCATAGCAAAACCTTTTCTAAAAACAAACAAAAAAGTATTTTCATCCTAACCTCTTGGCCCCAAAGACCAGGCAGGCAGGTAAGTGTACACATGTAGAGAGAGAGAGAGTCTTGTGCTTCTGCCAGGCACTTGGGAGGCTGAGGCAGGAGGATCAAAGTGAGTTCAAGTCCAGTTTGAACTACATAGCAAGACCCTATCTCAAAAAATAAATAGATCGTTAGACAAATAAAATAATAAACAAAGAGGCACCTTGGCCCCAGTGGCCTGTGGAAGCCTCACAGAGTGGCTGTCAGTGGGGCAGGCGCCACCGCGCAGTCTGTGTTTTGCACCGTCCTGGGTTCCTTCCTCTTCCGCTCTGGCTGCTGCGCTCAGCACATCCCCTCCAAGGTGCTCCAAGTTCCTCAGCCCTGAGCCGGCTCTGCAACCCTGGCCCCGCCGGCCCTGCCTCCTACCGGGCCAGCCTTCCAGGCTCGCCCCGGACTCGGCACAGACCCTGGTCCCGTTTGTGATGTCGAAGAAAAAATGGATGTGAACAATCCCAACCCTTGGGCTCTGTGTGAGGACACATTTATTTCTAATTTATCCCCTCCGAAAATATCTACCATCCTGCCGGGAGTGGTGGCGCACGCCTGTAATCCCAGCACTCAGGAGGCTGAGGCAGGAGGATCGCTGTGAATTCAAGGCCAGCCTGGGCTGCATAGCAAAACCTTTTCTAAAAACAAACAAAAAAATATTTTCATCCTAACCTCTTGGCCCCAAAGACCAGGCAGGCAGGTAAGTGTGCACACGTATATACTCGTGTGTATTCATGTGCATGCCGGGCTATGTCAGCCAGCACGAGGGCAGGTGCACAGGAATCTGCCTCAGCCTCCCAGAGCGCTGAAGTTACAGGCGTGTGCCCTCAAGCCCAGCTGATGGTAGGCTTAAACCAAGAGTCCTGGGAGCCCGAATCAGGAGGGTGGGAAGGGGAAATCAGAAGCACTGTGTGCAGCTGGGAGCTGTGGTCATGCTCAGTGACTGTGACTGCTGCTGCTGTTATCATTACCGTTATTTTACCCTCTAGGTGTTCCCTGCTTGGGAAGACCTCATGGCTTCTCAGGTTTCCAGGCAACAGTGAGCAAACCAGCCAGGATCCACACCTTGCTCCAGAGGCCACCAAGAGAGGCAGGGCTGGGACTTGAACCAGGGTCTGGTCTGACTACAGACCCAGGGCTATCTTAACCCATCTTCACTGCAAAAATCAAGTTCTTACTTGGCGTGGTTGTGCTTGCCTGTAATCCCGGTACTCCGGAAGGCTGAGGCAGGAGGATCATGAATTCTACTCCAGCCAGGGCAATTTATGGTTCAGTGAGAACTTGTCTCAAAATAAAAAAATAAAAAGGGTTGGGAATGTAGCTCATTGTGAAGGTCCTGGGTTCAGTCCCCAGTACTGCAAATAAACAAACAAGTAAAATCACCATAAATGTACTGGGCATGCTTGAGCATGCCTATCGTTCCAGCTACTTGGAAGGCTGAGGCAAGAGGATCACAAGCTCGAGGTTAGCTTAGACAATTTAACAAGACCCTGTGTCAAAGTACAATTTTATTTTATTTATTTTTTTTTTGGTCTTTTTTGAGACAGGGTGTCGCTATGCAGGTCAGGCTGGCCTTGAGCTCACTTTGTAGCCCCTCGAACTTGCAACGATCTCGAACTGGCAACGATCTCGAACTGGCTGGTCTCGAACTTGCAACAATCCTCCTACCTCAGCCTCCCGAGTGCTGGGATTACAGGCATGTGCCACCATGCCCGGCTCAAAATACAATTTTAAAAGAGGCTGGAGTTGTAGCTCAGTGGTAGAGGACTTGTGTATTCGAGGCCCTGGGTTGCATCTCCTATCACAGGTACCCGAGTGCCTACACACGCGCCACAAATGTGCTATCTTACAGCGTGGCTCTCCCAGGGCTAAACCCCGAGGGCTGGCAGGGGTGCGTTCCTCCTGGAGCCCCAGCAGCCTCCTTTTCCTTCCTGTCCCTTCACCCGAGTCGGTGCAAACCCCTGGGTGTGTGGCCCCCTCCTGCATTTTTCAAAGCCAACCACATAGGACTGAGTCTCCTCACGCCGCCATCTCTCTGCTCTTTCTCCCGTTTCTTCCACACTGCAGCACCTTGTGATCCTACTGGACCACACAGATCACCCTAGATGATTTCTGGAGGCTAAGGCAGGAGGAGCACTGCAAATTGCAGGCCAGCCTGGGCTACACAGGGAGATCCTGGCCGAAACAAAACAAAACGAAACAAGAATTGACTTGATGCAGGTGCCAGGCCCTTGAACCTCCAGAAGTGTGAGCACAGTAAACCTTTTCCCTTTATAACGTAGCTGCTGACGCACTGTGTGACTGAGCGGTGTGCACCGGCTCACGGATTGGGTGTGGACATCTTTGGGGTGCAGCCATCCCTTGCGCGGCCCTCAGTACTGTCCCGGGAGGTGTCCACCAGTGGAACCACCAGGAAGCCGTGCTGGCTACATACACTCTGGGGGAAGACATAAAAGTTCCCAACACCACCTCTTTGGGGCGCGTTTACGGTGTAACCGTTTCTATTGTGCATCTGGAGAAATCAGGTCAGAGAGGACAAGGCTCCAAGCCGGGGTCGCAAGGGGAGAACTAACGCAGCTGCCCTCACCCCAGGCCTGACCCCACCTTGCTTTTGTCCCAGTCCCTGAAACAGACCCGCCTCTCCCAAACCCATCCTAAGAAACGTGCAAGGCAGTTCCAAGCGAGTCCTGTGGCCAGTTTGCCCTTATTTCTGGCTTCCTGCCAAAGGTCATGGGGTCACACTTGAAAGACTTCCTCAAACCCTGCTCGCTGGGGCTTTGGAGATGGCTGCCTGAATTAGAAACAAGACCTTTCTTTTTTTTTCCTCTTTCCTTCTTTTTTTTGAGACAAGGTCTCACTGTGGAGCCCAGGCTGGACTCAAACTCACAGTGATCTTTCTGCCTCAGCCTCCCGAATGCTGGGATGACAGCACTAGATGCTGCTAAAGGGGCAGTGATGACTGAGTAAGTTTCCAGGAGAGCTTTATGAAGATGTTTCAAGAGCCTTAAAGTGTGCATCCTTTTCACCCATCGGTGTCACAGGAAGGAGAAATAACTGCGTGTAAGGTTCTGGATCCTGCATTGTGCTGCGGGACAAAAACATACGGAAGCCACCTAAGACTTATGTTAGTGGGTCTTGGTGAAGTAAAATGGGACGGCCAGTGTTGGGGCACTATGCAGGCATTAAAAATGACAATGCTTAGCCGGGCGCGGTGGTACATGCCTGTAATGCAGCGCTCTGGAGCTTGAGGCAGGAGGACACCAAATCGGACCCCAGCCCGGAGAATGGCTATGGTTCACCTTGGGGGAGCTCTGGTCCTCACTTTGAGCAATTTGATGAGGCCTTGTCTTAAAATAAAAAGGGGCTGGGGATGTCATTCAGTGCAAAGGCCCTGGGCTCAATGCCTAGTGCCACAAATAAGTAAATCCAAAGACTGAGCATGTCAGATGTGGGCAAAAGGCCCTGGCGGGGGTGTAGGAGGACACAATGGCTTTTGAAAAGTTTGGTAGTTTCTTAAAAAGCTGAAAATACTTCCCTTATGACTCAGCCGTCACATCCTGCAATGTGGAGCCAGAAGAAATAATAAAGCGCAGAAACTTGTGTGTAAGTGTTCATAGCAGCTGGAGAGAGCCCAGCACTAACTGCCTAGCATCAGATGAGGGGGTGCAGACACGAGTTAAATGAAATTAATTGTGTTAAATGAGAGAAGCCAGACCAAAAATATGTCCCATTCCATTTATATAAAATTCTAGAAAATGCAAACTAATTACAGTGACCAAAAGCAGCTGGGCATGGTGGTGTTCACCTGTAATCTCAGCATTCAAGAGGCTGAGACAAGAGGATCTCTCGGAGTTTAAGGCTAGCCTAAGTTAAACAGTGTGGTGGATTGACAGCTGGCGGTGAACTCATAACACCTAGCTGAACTTAACCAGTGTGGTGCTGGGTGTGGGAGGCCCACCTGAGGACTGCTGCCAGCAGCAAGAAGCAGAACTGGAGAAGAAGAAGACAGGCTGTTGGGAGCAGAGAGAAGCTGCTAGGAGCTCTTAGAAGCTGTAAAGAGCTGTTGGTTTTCTCGGAAGAGCTTATAACGCTGGCTTTCCTGATGAACTCGGCTGTTTTCATCATCTAAGGAGCTCAGGACCTCGTTGTCACTGAGAATGGCTCCGGTTCACCTTGGGGGAGCTCTGGTCCTCACTTTGAGCATCATTTCCTGGCTCTGGAGGGGAAGATGGTGCTCTGCTCAGTCTCCCGGCGAAGCTTGCTGTGTTGGCTTTCCTGATGGGAACTCGGCTTTCCTCCTCATCAGAAGAGCTCGGGACCTTACTGTCACTGAGGACGGCTGTGGTACTTTTCGGGGGAGCTCTGGTCCTTACTTTGAGCATTGCTTTCTGGCTCCAGTGCAGATCCCTCTGCCTGCTAGCACAGATCCTTCATCCTGCTGGCACAGACTTTCTAGCTCCTACCACTGACCTTTGGGCCTTCCCAGCGCAGATCCATGAAACAGGCCTGCGTGAGACATTGTCGTGGGCTCTAGGCCTCCAGTTGGAGTTGTAGGGAGCATCGTTACAGGCTGTAGGTCTTCAGCTGGAGTCACGCAGGACATTGTCATGGGATCCAGGCCCTCAGCTGGATTCTTTGGTCTTTAGTGTATGGACAGATGTTCTGCACTCTCTTTTGTATATGATTTCTTGGGTGACTATTATAAATAATCTTATAAAATATGTGTCCCTTATTATATTGTTCCCCTTGCAAAAACCCCAAACTACAACACACAGCAAATCTGTCCAAAAGTAAATCCGACTCCAACAGTCTGTACCTTTTGCTTTTATTTCTTCTCAAAAATGTTTATTTTTTGGTTTTTTTGAGACAGGGTCCGGCTAGGTAGTCCAGGTGACTGTGAACTCACAGTGATCTTCCTGCCTCAGCCTCCGGAGTGCTGGGATTATGCACGTGCACCACAAGGCCAGGCTTGATTTCCTTTCTGGAAAAAAAAAAAAAAAATGCTTGCGCCTGTGTTTCGTGGGTGGTGGAATCAGAGGTGAAGTGGCTCCTTTTGGCTTTCCTGCATGTGTGTAATGCTTCTGAAAACCCACACGTCTGCACTTATAATAAGAAAAGGGATTTCCACTTTGCAAGAGGAAAACAATACGAGCGCCCTGGGCAGCACCGGTGGGCTGACCTCGCCAAGGCCCTGCTGCCACGGTGGCCCCCTGCTGCCAGGGACGGAGGTGACACAGACCCATGGCTTCCTGCGAGCAGAGCCCGGGTCAGTGACGGGAGCGCAGTCAGATGCTTCCCGGAAGGCCCAGGTCAGCGTCGGAAATCAGCTGCTGTGTTTCCTCCGAGGAGGCCATGAGGCCAGAGGGGAAGGGATGTGGAGGAGGGTGGGGGTGGGGCTGGGGGGCTGAGCTGCTGCTCCCCCTTCACTCCCCTCTGCCCTTCTCCACCTCCTCTGCTACTGGGGATTTTTAAAATTTTAAGTCACGGGTGGTTGACACCTGTAATCCCAGCACCCAGGAGGCTGAGACAGGAGGATCTCCATGTGTTTGAGGCCAGCCTGGGCTACACAGTGAGTTCAAACAAACTGGAATACATAGCAAGAACTTGTCTCAAAACATAAAGAGGGCTGGGTGTGTAGCTCAGTGCAAAGGCCCTGAGTTCAATCCCCAGTACCACCACCACCAAGAAAAAAACCTGCATTCAACACACTAAGCAGTTCCAGCTGCAGATAGAGCCTGGACACCTTCCCCTGACCAGTTGTAGGCAATGCCAACACTGGTACTGATGCTGGAGGCACCTTCTGCAGACCAGGCACCTATCCAAGGGCCGGCATATATCCACGCTCGTCACCCTCCTAACACCCTTAATGATTCTTCTATCCACATTTTCCACATGGGGAAACTAAGGTACGAAGAGGTTCAGTAACTCACCCTAGTTGACAGAGGCCAATGTCCTGCTTGTCCAGTGTCCCCATGAGCTGTCATGGCTGGTTTGTTTGCTTGTTTTTTGGGACAGGGTCTGGCTATGTAACAGCCCAGGCTGGCCTCAAACTTATAGCGATCCTCCTGCCTCAGCCTCCTGAGTGCTAGGATTCCAGGCATGTGCCAACATGCCCACTTGTTTTAAGTGCTGCAAGCTTGGGTCTCTAAGAGGATCTAGAAAGGGACCATCCCACTGGATGAGGTGGCACATACTTGTGATCCCAGCAGTCAGGAGGCTGAGGCGGGAGGACTGCCGGGAGTTTGAAGCCAGTCTGGGCTACGTAGTGATTTTAAGGTCAGCCTGAACTACATAGCGAGACCCTGTCTCAAAAATAAGTAAGTAATTAAATAAATAGAAATTTTATGTCTGTTTTACAAGAATGAACAAATTGGAGGAATATGACTACAAGACTTCAAAGAAACATCTGAAAGTGTCTACACCAAACTATTAACAGAGTTTATCTCTGGAGTGGGGGTGGCAAGCATTACAAAGGACAGGAGATTTTTCACTTGTTTTTTGCAGTCTGGAGAACTGAACCCAGGACCTTAGGAAGCCTAGGCAGTCACTCTACTGCTGAGCTACCCACCCGGCCTGGCATTCACTTTTCAAACTTTGCTTTCTGTAACATAAAATTGTGTAATGTTTGAAGGTGAAAATGATGAGCATGTGCTGCTCCAGTTGAGAACTTTCTTTTCAGTGTGTTACTGTTACAGACTTGCCTTTCAGTATTCCTTTAGCTGCATGCTGTAAATTTTGGTAGGTTGTGTTGTTTTGTTTTTGTCTTTTTGAGACAGGGTCTTGCTATGCAGTGCTATGCAGTTCAGACTGGCCTTGAGCTCACTTTGTAGTCCAGGCTGGTCTCGAACTCACAGTGATCCTCCTGCCTCACCCTCCCAAGTGCTGGGATTAGAGGTATGCACCACCACGCCCGGCTCTAGGTTGTGTTTTTATTACACTTGTCTCAAAATAATTTCCTAATTTCCTTTGTGGTTTCTTCTTGGGCCCATGGATTGTTTAAGAGCTTGTTATTTAAACCGGATGTTGTGGCACACGTCTGTAATCTCAGTACTGGGGAGGCTGAGGCAGGAGGATCAACCTGAGTTCAAGCCTGAGCTACACCATGAGAGCCTGTCTCAAAAAACCAAAGAGAGAAGAGAGAAGGGAGATGGAAGAGGGAAGGGGGGAGAGGGAAGAGGGGGAAGGGGAGAGGGAAGAGGGGGAAGGGGAGAGGGAAGAGGGGAGAGAGAGCATGAATGCCCTCATAGTGAGTGTTGAGTTCAGGTTTAGGATCCAGACTGTGAGGATTTGAAGTCAGCTCCCTCAGTTACTCCCCAGGTGACCTTAGGCAAGATGATTCCAATGTGTGCCTCAGTTTCCTCACTGGTGAAATGGGACCTAACTCAGAGGACAGTTGTGAAGATCAGGTTCCCTGCCCTACACCGCACACCTCAGCTTATGTGCCCCTGTCTCCTGGGTTAGCGATGACCGGTCCATAGGGTTGGGTTGCACATTCGTTTGCTTAGTCATTCAACAGTCACTTGCCGGTCCTGGTTACAGGCAGTAAAAAACCTTGATAAAACCCTGATAAAACCTTGCTGTTAGCCAGGCGTGGTGGCGCATGCCTGAAATCCCAGCACTCCGAGGCTGAGGCAGGAGGATCACTACAAGTTCTAGGCTAGCCTGGGCTACATAGTGAGACCCTGTCTCAAAACAAACCAACCAAAAACCTCACTGTGCCTTTATGTGCTTATCTATGGAGGGAGACAATGAGGGCACCTGGGAAGACTGCTATTGGCATTTCTGGGGTCTCAGGAACACAGCCAGCCTGGCTCCAACAGCCAAACTTTATGCTGTTTAGAGAAACAGAGGATGTAAGGGCCAGGGATGTAGTTCAGTGGCAAAGCGCCTTGCTTGGCAAGTGCAAGGTCCTGAGTTCGATTCCCAGTATCACCAAAAAGAAAAAAAAAGAAGAAAAGAGAAACAGAGGAGGAAGACGGAGGCTTTGTTTTGCTATGTAGTCCAGCCTGGCCTTAAACTCAAGATCTTCCTGCCTCCGCCTCCAGAGTGCTAGGAGTACAGCCATGCACCACCATGCCCCTCCCCTCAGGACCTTCACAGCCACCCACAAGCTGAGTGGTCAGCACCACTGCACCCTGGGGCTGCAATGCCAATTTCTGTGATTTCCACTTCCACAAATGCCGCAGGACCTGCTGCCCACCCTTCCTCCCAGCAACTGCACAGTGCCTGGCAGGCAGCAGCACTGCCGTTTGGGTTTAGCCAAGCAGTGCTCTGCTAAGCATTTTCCAGGTACCCACTCGTTCACTCCTGAACAACACCCGGGAAGCAGGTGGTTCTGCGTTAGAGATCTGGAGACAGCAGCCCAGAGAGGTGGAGTGACTTGTCAAAGCCACACAGCAGAGCGGCAGAGGACCGTCAGTGTTTGTGGAAGGAAGGAAACGGTCAGGCACAGGGTACTGGGGCTCCAGGCCTGGGACACAGAATCAGAGCAGGGCCCCCAGCGAGCCCCGTGTTCACTCCTCCCTTGCCTCAGGAATGGCGACCAAGGTTTGAGAAGGAAGAGCCCCAAGGTCACACGGGAGATTACAACGCAGGGTTCCCAGCTTCCAGCCTTGTGACCCTGGGAAATGGAGACACACAGAGGAAACCTCAGCAGTGCCACGGGAAGAAGGTGAAAGGGACGAGAAGAAGCAAGGGTGTGCTGTCCGCCTGTAATACCAGTGCTGGGGAGGCTGAGGGAGGAGATCACCTGAGTTCGGGGCAGCCTGGGCTACATAGCAAGGCTCTGTCTCAACAAAACAAAAGAAAACAAAACAAAATGAGCTAAGACCAGGAACTGTGACTCCGCATTCAGCCAACAAACAGAGCTCCACAGGGCGGCGGGTGCAGGTGGACCGGGCGGTGACCTGCGCACACCTCTGCTGGGTAAGCACAGCCCGATCACTGGGGCAGAGGTGCTGGGCCCCCGCCAAGTTATGTAAGCACCGCCGCCGCCGGCGGGTGGGAGCTGGGAATGGCCAGGCGCCAAGTGCAGCCTCAGGAGGCCACTTCCAGGTGGCCCAGCGCAGTCTTCCCGCCCCGGCCACAGAGCCCAGGGACACTTCCCGGATGGGACCCCTCAGGCTTTGGGAAGCCCCTCCGGCCTCCTTCGTGGCTGTGGTCTGACCCTGTACAGATGAGGTTCAGCCAGACCCCACTTCCCAGGTGGCTCCGGGCCACGGACCTCGTGACTTATGTAACTGTGCGAGCTGAGTGTCATATCTCCCTGGTACAGGTGAGGACACAGGAGGTGAAAGAGGTGGATGACTTCCTGGAAACCACAGGGCCAAGGAGTGGCAGGGCTGGGATCTAAACCCAGGTCACTTCTTGGCCAACAGGTAGGCCCTGGAACTGTGCTGGGGAAGGATTTAGATATTTATTTTTCTGTGACAGTCCAGGCTGGGCTTGAACTCACCGTATAGCTCAGACTGGCTTTGACTTTGTGGTGATCCTCCTGCCTGAGCCTCCTAAGTGCTGGGATCACAGGCATGTGCCACCTTGCCCGGCTTCATAAAGTATTTTGAAATCAGGCAGCTGGAGAAAGGAAAGGTAAAGGAGCAATGTTCCTGATTCCTAGAGGGAGGCAAAGGCCCTGTGGGAACTGGCCTGGCCTAATCACATCATCCTCTCCCTAATACCTTCCATGGCTCCCTATTACCTTTGTTTGTTTGTTTGTTTTGTGGTACCAGAATCAAACTCAGGACCATGCCAGGGGCAGTGGCACATGCCTGTAATCCCAGCACTCAGGAGGCTGAGGCAGGAGGATCATTGCAAGTTCAGGACCAGGCTAGGCTGCAAAGTGAGCTCAAGGCTAGCCTGAACTAGATAACGAGATCCTGTCTCAAAAAGATTTAAAAAAGAAAAAAAAAAGGACCTTGTGCTTGCCAGGCAGGCACTTGTGCCACTGAGCTATGTCCCTAGCCCTACTACCTTTAGGATAAA